GAGCAAGTAAAACAAAGTTTTGCAAAATGCAAACTTCTACTTCTTTGATTTCTCAGAGGTCTAAAACACATCTAAAATGTACACTCTCAAGCCAGGCCGGGAATAATAATGCTGGGAGATGCTCATATACTATGAGGACAGGGGCTATATAAATACACAGAGTGAGATTAAACTCCCCAAATGAGATGCCTAATGGAAATGCTCAACTTTAAATATAGCAATGTAGCTATACTGATCTTAAAGCTGATTGAGGTGGTTTGGGAACGTTACATACGTCACTATGTACAGGATGCTGTATGTGATGTGTAAACAAAATACATTTCATTTGGTATACTGATACATTACATATGTTTAACATTTATTGTAAAAACAGTATAAGTACAAAAAAATTCAGTCTTCTTAAAATTCAAGGGTTAGATTTTGGCATTAAGCCACTGTGGGTATGTCAACCCTGAAGTTAAATATCCCTGGCTGTCCCGTGTCAGCTGACTTCGGCTTGGGCTACAGAGCTGTTTAATTACAATGTATATGTTAGGCTTGGGTTGGAGCCTGGACTCTGGGACCCCATTAGGGGGCATCCTTCTGGGACCCCGTAGCCCAAGCCAGTTGACACAGGACAGCCACAGGTGTTTAATTGCAGTGTAGATATACTCATGTTTTGGGGAAAAGGGAGCAGGAGCTGTGCAAAGACAATAGTTCCCAAAGGTAATGTATCCAAGCCAGGCACGTTGTTTTTCCCTCCTGTGAAGGAGTACACACAGCAACAATATCTAACATACCTCTTTAAAGAGAGTGGTGAATACTCCTGGCCACATACTAGCCCAAGTCAGCTGACATATGGTGGAGGTTGTGACCATGTCATTGCCCTTTTAAATTCTTTATAAAGAATAATCTCACAATGAGGATTTGTTTCATGTATTTCAAATTAACATGCATGTATCTTTCTTTTTTGCAGAAATTATCACAGAAGTCTTCAGGCAAATAAATAATATACAGAAGACTGATTTAAATGTCACAGAAATCAGTCTTTGCAGTACTTTAACTACACACATTTTAGTAAGCCTTTGTTATTAAGCTGTCATCCTTCATATTTCTTGTTGGGAAAACAAAGATTCTGTTTCTCAGTAGATTTTGTAACTTCTCCTTTTGCTGTTTATTAATGTGGGCATTTGGTTACTTCAAAAATAATATTTTTGCTGTTTTGGCAGTGATCCCATTCCCATATTCAACAGGAATCCCTGCCTAGGCTGTTCCTTTACCATCTCTGAATATGGCACACAAGCCAGTACAGATACAATAGAGTCTATAACTAACTCCATTCTGAGTGTACCATTTTCCCTGTGTATCCACTTTCATCATATTCCTCCTCTTACCAGGAAAGGTAATAGCATGGGTCTCCTCTGCGACAGACACCTATGCTGCCAGCAGGAGATATTTCCATGCCATATGGTTATTTATACCTTAAAAGATCAATTGTGCAAGCTTCATAAAGCAGACCATAACCCAGAAGTACAAAAGTGAAAGACCAGAATAACTTCTATGGAGTGGCAGCAACCACAAAGCCATTCTGCTAGTTAGTACATGTTTTCTAATTACACCTCCGCTCCAAAAAAAAAATCACTATCTTAATTCTCATCCGTTAACATTACAGACTAAATCCTATTCTCAGTGCGTGGTACAAGTAATTGGGCTGTTTGATGAGGATTTCCTTGGGGTTTAGATTTAAGGAATCCTCCCCCACTCAATTTTGTATGTTCCATGATTGCCACTTCAGCCTCAGGTCCATTGCCCAGGGTACTCTACAGGTGTGGAGGAAGATGGGGGGGATGGAAGGGGGTGTGGATCTATTTGTTCCCAGTGAAATACTGTATCCAAGCTCCACAATGCATATTTTCTTACAGTTTTTGGAAACTGACCACCCCCTTGTATCTGAGATGGAGGGAGAGAGTTTATCCCTATAAGGAGCTAATTCTGCAGTTCAAAAATCCAGCAAATTCTCATTGACTTTAATAGCAGTTTTGTCCATGTATGGATTGAAGAGTTGGTCCCAAAGCATACTCTAAAACCACCTAGTCATATAAAGTAGGAATTATTACCATTACCAATAACTATTGCTGTTAAAGTCGATGATGACAGTTGACTTCATAATTAATATTAAAGTGTTTTTTTCATGGGAGTTCTTTTAGGCCTTGATTCAGCATAGCACTTAAGCATAAGCTTAACTTTAAGCATATCAGTAGTCCCAGTGACGTCCATAATACTAGTTGCCTACTTAAAGTTACACGAGTGCTCAAGTCCTTTGCTGAATTGAGTCAAATTCTGAGGTGGTGTATAAGGAGATACAAGTTATGTCAGAAAAACCTCAAGGTGGCTAAACTGGTGTAATTTACATGCTATGCAACTGGAAGAGAGTGAAAATTACATAAATCTGGGCCTTCTCTGTACTGAGATTAGGACTTTCCTGCCTTGTTTATTCAGATAATGTCATTGACATTGATTGTCCTAGCCATGAGAATCAACTGACTAGGATTTGACTCCTAATCTGGTGAAAACCTGTTATTAATATTCAATCTCCATATGCATGTGTTTAAATTGTTCATTTACAAGTCTTCTTTGTGTCTCTTTTCCGATAGTATTAGTTATGGGTAGCTATGCAGCCCAAACATATAAAGTATACATGTAATAGATGTTAAATATAAACAGTATTTGAATAGTGTATGTATAAAATTCAAATGAGTGATATGAGCAATATTATCCAATTAAAAATATTAGCAAAAAATTGGATTTTTTTGTCTATATGACCCTCAGGCGAACATGGTCAGGCATTTTGTGCCAGTGCTAACTAAAGAAAAGCTGGAGTGAGGATTTCCTAGTTTGACAGCGAGGTCTAACATGAGAAATAATTTTGCTGTTAGTTCAGCTAAAGACAATTAGAGATACAGACAACTATTCTACAGCCTTTAGTCAGGCAAAACACTTCAGGGTGTTTTCCCTTAGAAACGACTGTAGGATTACGCAATTAAAAGACATTTACTATCCCATTTCCATCAGATGACAATGGAATAAACAAAACAAAAAAAATCACAGCCAAAAAAAAAGAGAGTCAAAAACAGAGGCTCTCCATTTTGTGCCCATTAAAGTGGATGGTGATACAGTTTTATAATTGACTACATTGAGTGCAGGATCAGGTAGAAGGTCTAATCATTCATGGCAAGTGTGAAGGGGTACACTCACCACAGGTAGCACCTCCTTATGGCTACATTTGGAGATCAGCTTTTACCCACTCTGGCCTCCCCCTTCTGTCGGTTATTCATGCTGTGAATCCCCCTCCCCCCCAACTCGGAATGCTCCCTCTTCCTGACTCAGCCCTCTGGCCAGGCCACTATGGGTATGTCTATACAGTAATTACAAACCCGCAGCTGGCCCTGTAGATCTTCGGGCTTGGGCTGGAGCCCAGGCTCTAGAACCCTGCGAGATGGTAGGTCCCCAGAGCTAGGGCTGCAGCCTGAGCCCAAACACCTACACTACAATTAAACAACCCCACAGCCCAAACCCCATGAGCCTGAGCCAACTGGCTCAGGCCAGCTGCGGGTGTCTAACTGCAGTGTAGACATACACTGGAAGGGGAGGACTATTGAGGGTAACAAAGTCCCTCTGGACCAGCTGGTGTTTCCAACAATCCTGTGCCACTTCCCAGTGGCTAGTAAGGGAATCCAGGCTTATAAAACAAAGATTATATACACCAGGAGTGTTCTTTAGCAAATGTGAGTAACTTTTTCATAGTCAAATGATTTCACTTAAATAACCTCTTGCCTGGATTATCTACAGACATTCCCAAAGGAATGGATGCAAAGAAACCAAGATTTTTTCTTTTAACATTTTTACACAGTTTCACTGCTTAATTCCCTCCAATAACTACAGAGTTAACTTCTCACTTTCTTTCTTTCAACTTCCTCAAACTGCGGTTGCCTGCTTGTTTGGGCCCGATCTTTTCTTCTTTGCTGCATTATTTCTTTCCATGGGCACAGGCATTGTTTCACTACCAATTTAGCAAGGATGGTGGGCTTTTAGGCTAACCCCCCCTTTTATCTATTTACATAAACACATTACATCTAGATGCATCTTATTTAATAATAACCTTTTCTCTATGTCCAGACTTAATACAATCTTTTCTTGAGGCGGTAACAACCCCTCAGCATCGGTACATTATAGGATAATAGCAGGGTTAGAGACAACGGGAAAAATAGGGAAAACAGCTGCATTAACAGCACTGTAAAATGGGGGAGTTACACTCACTGACCACAGGAATAATGACTCCTTGCTGAATGCAGGAGATAACAACAGATTGGATTTTTCCTTGGCCTGTTTTGATAGAAGATACTGCTGCACCTTGGGAAGGGGTCTTGCTGGATTTAGGTGAATCTTAACAGGTTGGGCAGACCCAATGCACCCGACCTGGTTGGCATGGTCGGCTCACAAGGCTCACAGGGAGAGACCTTAGCCAGCAGTTCCTGTTGCAACGAGGAAGGGCTGGGGTCGGTCTCCTCCTTTGGAGCGTCAATGTACAATTTAATTTACATAGCAAGTCTCTTCCCAAAAGGTTAACCAGCAAACAAGGACAGAGGACCAAAAAAAAAAAAAAACGGTCAGAGGTGAAGAGATGGGGTGGGGAATAGGAGTATTTCCCACCCCTACTGCATTTACTATCTCAGAATAAAAAGGGAGAGAATGGAAGTCACTGGCACGGAGAATAGATTGCGACGCACCAGTATCTAACAGACAAGTGGTGGGCTTGCCATCAATAATACAGATTACATATGGCCCAGCCTGATTCAAGGGAATAAGCGGAGCGATGACTTAAAGGGTAGAGAGATATCTGCTGGCCAGCAGGGGCTTGTAAAAAACCCAATTTCTCCTTTGTCTACTTTAATTGTGTTTTAAGTTTCTCCTGGGAGTCCTTGAGACTCCTCCTTTGAGATTCACTGCAATGTTTTTCTGTTTCTCCATACCAATCAAAATATGCATCAAACTTTGGCCAGAAGTGCGCCTCTGAGGTGCATAATCTTGACAAGGTCAAAACTTTCCCTCTAGGGGAGACCATAATTTTAAATCATCCCTGGTATACCAATTCCATTTTTTCCAAAAACTTGCAAGTAGAAAGACTATAATTTTTTATACATATAAAACGCTGGTGTGCCTTTTGGAGGGATGGTAATTCCCTTCGATCCACCGGCCCCCAAAGCTCACAGACAATATATACACAAACAGACACAGACAGACAGACACAAACTGAACCAGAACCCCTATTGGCGAGACAGTGATCCCACACCGCCCCCCTTGTTTACAGCTTTCCCGGTGAGACGAAGATCAATTTGGATCCTTCGGCCTTCCAGTATCCTGACTTTCCTGACGTGATGGCGCTCCCTTTGAGCCCATCCTCCCCAGGACCCGACACAATCACTCAGGTCTTTCACACAGGAAAGAGCATGTTTGTTTAGGAGCGTCCATGACTGCCTACACCCCCGTCCAGCAAAGAGTGTCGGCTAGTCTCAAAGAGAACAGTGCTGCTTACTCTGTTGCTTCTGGTGGGGCGTTTGGACCAGTCAGTGGCCCTACAGACTGCCTTTTACCGGAAGAGGAGGGGAACCAGAGGGAAAGAGGGTGAGGAAACCAGACCGTTTACAGACGGTAAGGGATGGGGACATTCATACTCCTATGCCTGGATAGGCCTTTCGCCGGTCATGCCATGCAGGAGGTCCATATCCTGGTCAGGGTCCTTATGATCCACTAAAGGGGCCGCAGGGCTTCCGTTCGAGATATCCCTGGTCACGAGCCCCTCAGGGCTTCACAGGGGTCTCGGGGCATCTTCCTGTGACCCTCACTCACACCGGTCTTGCAACCTTCACTTTTACACTGGCACACAAAAGACCTCCGCAACCTACCTAGCCACTCAGTGGCTCTTCCCGGGTAACCAGAACCAGAATCAGACAAAACAAACAGGACAAGACAAAACAGAAGGGCGGCAGGCGTGTCTATTAGCAAAAGGTTCAGATCCAGCCTGCAACTCACCCAACCCTGAGCCTACGGGCAAATCCTCCACCAGAAACCCACGATAGAGATTTCAATAGGTCTCTTACCTTTCAGATGGGCCCTGGGTTTGGTGGGAGATTGCCCGCGGTCCTCCGGTCTGGGGAAGTCTTCTGTGGATCCCGGACGAGCCCCCAACTTGTTGTGGAAAATTGACCACACGATTGATTTTGGATCAGACAGCCTGAGGCTCCTTTATTGATCAATCAAACATGCATGCATGGGGGAGTCAGCCAAGGCAGCCAAACACCCACCCGACAGATAAAATACAGGAGCTTATACAGGACAAAACCACAATTAGTAACACATACTTTCTTATCAACATTATTGCCATAAATGGAATACAATATCCATAAAAGGGAATATAGCAAAGCAAGCTTTCCTGTTATTCTTAG